GGCACTCTTACAGCAGGATTATCTGGCTATTTGGACTCTCTCCTCAGACCCTAAGCTACCAGCACTCCTAGCTATGTTTGAGACACCACTGACTTCCTGAGGAAACTACAATGCATTGGTGATCTTCCTGAAAACACCATCCTGGCCACCATGGATGTAGAAGCTCTTTACACCAATATTCCACACGAGGATGGACTACAAGGTGTCAGGAACAGTATTCCTGATGAGGCCACAGCACGCCTGGTGGCTGAGCTTTGTGACTTTGTCCTCACCCACAACAATTTCAGATTTGGGGACAACTTATACCTTCAAGTCAGCTGTACTGCTATGGGTACCCGTATGGCCCCACAGTATGCCAACATTTTTATGACTGACTTAGAACAGCACTTCCTCAGCTCTTGTCCCCTAGTACCCCTCCTCTACTTACACTACATTGATAACATCTTCATCATATGGACACATGGGAAGAAGGCCCTTGAAGAATTCCACCTGAATTTCAACAATTTCCACCCCATCATCAACCTCAGCCTGAAACAGTCCACATAAGAGATCCACTTCCTGGACACTACAGTGCAAATAAGTGATGGTCATATAAACACCACCCTATACCGGAAACCTACTGACCACTATACTTACCTATATGCCTCCAGCTTCCATCCAGGACACATCACATGATCCATTGTCTACAGCCTAGCTATAAGATACAACCGCATTTGCTCCAATCCCTCAGACAGAGGCAAACATTTACAAGATCTCTATCAAGCATTCTTAAAACTATAATACCCACCTGGGGAAGTGAGGAAACAGATTGACAGAGCGAGACAGGTACCCAGAAGTCACCTACTACAGGATAGGCAAAACAAGGAAAATAACAGAATACCACTGGCCATCTCGTAAAGCCCCCAGTTAAAACCTCTCCAGTGCATCATCAACGATCTACAACCTATCCTGGAAAACGATCTCCCACCCTCACAGGCCTTGGGAGACAGGCCAATCCTGACTTACAGACAAATACTCACGAGCAACTACACACCACACCACAGAAACACTAACCCAGGAAGCAATACCTGTAACAAACCCCGTTGCCTTCTCAGTCCCATATCTACTATAGCGACACCATAATAAGACCCAACCACACCAGCCACACCATCAGAGGCTCATTCACCTGCACATCTACTAATGTGATATATGCCATCATGTGCAGGCAATGCTCCTCTGCCATGAACATTAGCCAAACTGGACAGTCTCTACGTAAAAGGATAAATGGACACAAATCAGATATTAGGAATGGTAACATACAAAAGCCAGTAGGAGAACACTTCAATCTCCCTGGACATTCAATAACAGATTTAAAAGTAGCCATTCTTCAACAAAAAAACTTCAAAAACAGACTTCAAAAACAAACTGCAGAGCTACGATTCGTTTGCAAACTTAACACCATCAATTTGGGCTTGACTAGAGACTGGGAGTGGCTGGCTCACTACAGAAGCAATTTTCCCTCTCTTGGTGTTGACACCTCCTCATCAATTATTGGGAGTATACCACATGCACCCTGACTGAATTGGCCTTCAACATTGGTTCTCCACTTGTAAGGTAACTCCCTTCTCTTCATGTGCCAATATATATTTATGTCTGAATCTGTAATTCTCACTCCATGCATCTGAAGAAGTGGGTTTTTTACCCACGAAAGCTTATGCCCAAATAAACCTTAGTCTTCAAGGTGCCACCGGACTCCTCGTTGTTTTTATTGCAATCATATCTGTTTATATTGTAAGGAGGAAAATGAAAACTTACCCATTTTTACTGAATACCCTTATCCATGCTTGGATGTTTGGTCCCAGCATACACAAGCAGTGTAAAGTAGTAAATGTAGATAGGAGTACTGCAAACAGAAATGTCTCAAGCACTGACCTATAAAAGGAGGGATATAACAAAATTAACTAAAAAAGATTAAGAGCAATGAGTCTAAAGTTTAAAAAAAAATGCCAGCTCCATTAGAAAATGTGCACACCTTCTTAAAACTAATCTAGCAAGAGAAGTTTCTTCTGTTCAGCCTTTAGGAATAAAGGGAAAGGAATACAATATCCCCAGATAGCCCCATAAACAAACTAAAAAATGTAGTAAATGATCTTAAATATTTGGGTCCTGTACAACTTTAACAAACACACTGGTAATTTGTACGGATAGTCACTTTTGAACTAAAGTATCCACTGATTTTTTTACTTTCCCAAACCTTTCATCTTTCTAGTTTGACTGTGGAAGCAGATAACGAGCTTTACCTGCATGATGATGTCATTACTCAGCATCTCAATGCCACTTCCAAACAGCAGCCATGACAGATGCAAAGCAGGTTTCCCCCTATAACTTACATCCCAAATGCTAATATGATAGGAAAAGACAGCAGAACCTCAGAGTTACGAACTGACGAGTCAACCACACACCTCATTTGGAACCGGAAGTATGCAATCAGCAGCAGAAAAGACCCCCCCTCCCTAAAAAAAGGCAAAATACAGTACTGTACTGTGTTTAACATAAACTACTAAAAAAATAAAGGGAACGTTAACAAAAAAAAGTTGACACGGTAAAGAAACTGTTTCTTTGCTTGTTTCGTTTAAATTAAAATGGTTAAAAGCTGCCCTTTTCTTCTGCATAGTAAAGCTTCAAAGCTGTATTAAGTCAGTGTTCAGTTGTAAACTTTTGAAAGAACAACCATAATGTTTTGTTCAGACTTATGAACATTTCAGAGTTAAGAACAACCTCCATTCCCGAGGTATTTGTAACTTTGAGGTTCTACTGTACTGCAACTTTCCCATGCCGTTTTTTTATTTTTTTTAATCATTTTTCCATGTAGATTATAAAACAGAATGAGCATATACTAAAAGGCAAGTGGTCAGCCGTCTGTTTTTAATTCCTACTAGTGCTTGCCTCAAAATGTATACAGACAATGGGTGAGGTCCTGCCTCTATTGAAATCAATGGGAATTTTGCCATTAACTTCGTTTGGGTCAGAATTTAATCCAAAGCCTTTTAACCAATATTTGTAAGGAGCTTTACAGCTTTTAGGTGAAGATAGGGTTTTCAGACTTACTCTATTAGTGGTGCTCCGTAAAGAACGATAATTCCGTGAAACAGTATACATGATATGAAGAAGAATACACAGCATTTTAGAAATTTGGTTACCTAAAAAAAATAACACTAAAATATCAGGATAATGCTCTATAAATAGTACATTAAGCAATATATATTCTTCATTTTATCAACAGTGTTCCACTATGCCTGCCTTGGAAACATGTCAATGAAGTTATTACACTGGGCTACGGTTGAAACTAATCATTTAATATACAAGTTTTCCTGTGTTTAATGTTTTAAAGCACTATCAGCTTAAAAAAATAAAATCACACTTCAGTTTGAAAATGTGTTTTACCTACTGTAGTACTATTACAAATAACACCTACAATGACTATAACTGAGAAGGAAAACATGGAGAAAAAAAAAGTTTCCCAGTTTGTTTCCCGTGCACCTTTGTGTTGTATGCTTCTTTTATTGGAATGCATCTTCCACAAAGTACCAAGGAAGATTAAAAAATAAACAAAATATTTTAAAAACTGGCAGAGAGACTCAGAGACATCATAGTATATAAAACTATATTTGACTCCAACTACATTTTAAAACTGACTAGATTTCAAGAGGACAGTGCCACTTTCAGAAATGGGTATCTAACTTTCTACAATCCTGTAATAGGGGTTTCTCAAACTTCATTGGACTGCGACCCCCTCCTGACAATAAAAACTACAGGACTCATTTCAAAAGGTAATACACACTTACTCAGCGCATTTACAAAGGCCAAGATTTGACAACAAAGCACTTGAATGTATTTTGTCCTTTCACTTTCCTAGCTGATTCCTTCAGTAAAAAGATAGTCAATCCTCCCTCAAAGCTACTAGCATTAAGCTAACTATACGAAGTCTTACCTTGTGAGCAAATGAAATTCTCTTAGAAGATGGATTTGGTTTAAGTATTATATACAAGATTATATTTACAGTAGTTACACAAATAGAACAGATGCACAACCAGATAAGGTGTGTTCCCAAAACTGAGAAGTTCTCCAAGAAGAGAGGTGGAACAATAGTTGTTAGGATAATGGACAAAACAGAGACAATGTGGGCAGACAGCAGTCTCTTTATTTCTGTATCTTTCATGGTGTTCTATCTTGAATATCCACCTACAATAAAGCAAACAACATTATTGTAGTTAATTATTGAAAACTTTAAGAGGGAGGAAAAATATTTTTCCTGGTTAGAATGCATAGCAAGATAAATTATGTGCTGTTCTAAAACAGAAAACTCAGTTTAGGAGCAATCATTATGTTTCATTCCAAAAAAGTTTCAGAATAAAAAACCAGCAATAAAATACTTTAAAATTGGTTACCCAATGGTTCAAAAGCTGGCTGAACTGAATACTCACACAGCCTAGATGATGCTGATTCACTGCTGATTAATTTGATTTTGAGACAACTAATAGAAACATTTTAGATTTTTTTATATATAAACATTACTCTGAACTCTGAAGTGTTTGCAACAACACTGTGATATACTGGTTCCCATGTTGAGCACAAAGAGAAAATACATACAAACAAAATGAAACTCAGCATTTTCATTCTCCATGTGAACAAAAGCACACAGAGTAAACAAAAAGTAAACAAACAGCACAAAAAACAAAAAGCAGATTTGAAAAAATATTTGCTTTCATAATTTACAGTGTTAAAACATGGGGCCATGGAAAAATATATATAAATTATAAATTGATGGAAACCCTTTAAAGAGCAGATGCAATTTTCAACCTTAACTATCCACTTCTAGTCAACCTAAATTTGTAACTGTTTGAGAGGCAGGGCATTCAAATAACTAAGATTTAACCTTTACTACATACAACCACAAAGAAACTCAAGAAGCTAACTCTTCAGCCCACCCTCTCCTGATTTTCTCAGATATATGGGGAATCCTGGTTTTGTTTGCCAAGACAAAACAATTACTCAGTCTTGTAAGATACACTGGGGAGGGGAAGGGTTCCTGCTTAATATTATTCTTTATAACCTGTAATTGGCAACGGATTGTGATAATGTTTCCTGCTACAACATCTGACGCAAGGGCCCTGCTGATGTTTGCATCTCCAGGCAGTGACAGTCTGCACCGCAGGCTTTGTGCCATCAGACAATTTGCAGAGGAGCAAAATGCCATGACCTGCCTTCGTCTTAGCCTATGTGCAACGTGCCTCAGCCGGCACGTGACCAGGATTCATCCCCGAATTTGGTCAGCAGCGGGAGGAGCAGCCTACGGAAGAAAGGAGTCAGGTGGGGGAGCAGCAGGAGAAGCAGCCTGCCGGGGGAGGGAGACCAGTGGGGGAGCTACCTAGCAGGGGCCGGCGGGGAGAGGCAGCGGGAGGAGAAGGCGGCGGGGAGAGGCAGTGGGGGGAGCAGCGGGAGGAGAAGGCCGGTGGAGGTAAGGCCGTCTTCTTCTTACCTGAGTCTCACCCAGGAGGCAGTGGGCGGGACGACGCGACGCCGAACGTGAGGTCAGAGACCACGGGGCTCACCTGCCCCTTCGCTCTAGTCTCTGCGTAGGTGGCCGCGCGGCGCGCGTTGCTCAATGCCGTGGAAACAAGGGCTGAGATTGACAAGTGGTGGCGACCAATCAGGCTAACTTGCTATGTGATTGGGGCAAACCAGGAGGCTGGGTCCAGGGGGCAGGGCGAGGCGGAGGCCGGAAGCGGAAGCGGATAGCGGCGGTTTGTTTACGTTTTTACAGCTGCTGTCTCCCTGCGGCTGCCCGGCAGCGGAGCCTGGCGCGCGGTTCGGCCTCAGCATGGTCTGCGAGAAGTGTGAGTCCCCGCAGGCGCCGGGCCCTGGGGCAGCCCCGTCCTCTGAGCAGGGGATAGGCCCGCGGGGGCAGGTCTCCCTTCCGGGCTGGGCCTCATCTCCCCGGCTGGTAGGTGGGGCCCGAGACGGGCATAGCTCTGGGCTGAACTGCCCCGGGTTGTGTGGAGCACCTGTTCCTTGGCGCCCCTTCGAGGTTCGCGCCACTGCCTCTCCCCGCTCTCGCCTTATGTCCTGATCCTGTGTCATTGCTTCTGTGCGTGAACAGGCCTCTCTCGCGAAGGGAACCTATAGAGGCCAAGCACAGCCCGGCTCCTGACAGGGAGCTTGCTGAGCACTGGCTCCAGAAATACATAGTTAATGACATTTGTAGTAATCAGCAGCATTTGCTTAGAGGCCTTAATGAAAACTAGGTCTCGTTCCCCCCTCCCCCCCCCCCGATGTATGGTCTGTTATAGGTGAGAAGAAACTTGGCACTGTGATTACACCTGACACATGGAAGGATGGAGCAAGAAACACTACAGGTACTGTATTGAAAGTGTTACTTAATTGAGGAAGAATTTATGTTATTACACAAAGAGATGTCAGTAGATAAGCTGGTCTCCCACTTCTGGGGGGGAGGGATAGCTCAGTGGTTTGAGCATTGGCCTGCTAAACTCAGGGTTGTAAATTCAATCCTTGAGGGGGCCACTGAGGGATCTGGGGCAAAAATCAGTACTTGGTCCTGCTAGTGAAGGCAGGGGGCTGCACTCGATGACCTTTCCAAGGTCCCTTCCAGTTCTAGGAGATATTCTATCTCCACTAATTTAAAATTTTAATTTAAATTAAAAAAAAATTAAGTCAGATTCTTTCCCCTGATAATTCAGTCTATTGGGAATATAACTACTTTGATTTTCGGTGGTGCTGTATGTGTTTCTACTATATTGCAATACGAAATAATGATGTGTGTCAACATGGACTAAGAGGTCCTGTCATCTCACATCTTAATCCTTGGGGTACCCTATATTCATTTTTTTCTGCCCATTTATTTGCTTTAGTCCACTCACCCTCAACATTTTACTTTGCACCCACCTTCAGGCTAATAGTCATGGTCAGTATTTCACTTCGTTATTCTTGGTTATTTATAAGTATTAAACACATTTTATTTTATATTGAACTATTACGTATTTAGCAGCTAAATGGAACCTGAACACCAAACTAACAAACAGTAGATTTAAAATGGGGTATTGGAGTGTAATTAAATATGACTGCTCATCCTTTTGGGAGGAAGAGAGAAAGGAGAGGACTGCCTGGTGGTTAAGGCACAGAAGTGGGAGTCAGAAACCCTTGGTTCCATTTCCAGCTCTGTCACAGACTTTCTGTCTAATATTGGGCAAGTAACTAAGACTCAATTGTGCAGTGAGCTCTGTGCAGTGCTATAGTCCACCCACCTGTGGCTTTACATACCAATTCTTTGAAGTCAATAGGAAAAGGAACCAGACCTTTTCCCATTTTTTCCTCCTTGACCAAAACCTGTATCAAATTAACTGTACAATGGAAATGAGAATTCATATATTGAGACCAAATTATGGTTTGTAGAGATTCTCAAATGGAAGTTTCTGTAAATGTACAAAATATTGAGTATGCATCCTCTAAGACAGAGGTGGGCAAACTATGGCCCGTGGGACCCTCCTACCCGGCCCTGGAGCTCATGGCCCAGGAGGCTAGTCGCCAGCCCCTCTGCCGCTGTTCCCTCTCCCCCGCAGTCTCAGCGCATCGCACCACTGGCGCAATGCTCTGGGCGGCCGGGCAGCACAGCTGCAGAGCCCAGCCTGACCCGGTGCTCTGTGCTGCGCGGTGGCGTGGCTGGTTCCAGCCGGGCGGCACACCTGTAGTGCCGCCAGCCACCAGTGCTCCAGGCAGCGCGGTAGGGGGCAGGGAGCAGGGGGGGTTGGATAGGGAGCAGGGGAGTTTGGGGTGTGGATAGCGGTCAGGGCGGTCAGAGGGCAGGGAACAGGGGGGTTGAATGGGGGCAGGGCTTCTGGGGGGCAGTCAGGAAGGAGGGGGGTTGGATGGGGTGGCGGGGGGCAGTCGGGACAGAGAGCGGGGGGGTTGGATGGGGTCGGGGCGGTCAGAGGGTGGGGAATGGGGGGTTGAATGGGGGCAGGGGGTGCTGGGTGCAGTCAGGAAGGAGCCCCCCTCCTTCCTGGATGGGGTGGGGGGGGCAGTCAGAGGTGGGTGTTCCGGGGACAGGAAGAGGGGTGGTGGATGGGGCAGGAGTCCCAGGGGGCCATTAGGGAACAGGGGGTGGGGTTGGATGGGGCAGGAGTCCCGGGATGGGGGGGCCTTCAGGGGGCGAGAAGAAGGGGGGGGATAGGGGGCAGGGGCCGGGCCACGCCTGGCTATTTGGGGAGGCACAGCTTCCCTAACCGGCTCTCCATACAATTTCCAAAACCCGATGCGGCCTTCAGGCCAAAAAGTTTGCCCACCCCTGCTCTAAGATTTATGTTTTACTACACTGTCTGCAGGCAAGCTGATTGAACTGAGTCTTACGTTAGTCACAACTGTTAGTCATGTCCTGTAGATAACTTTTCATTGTTTATAATATATTGCACCTCTGCTACATTTAGTGTATAGTAGTAGTAATATGACTAAGTAATATGAGAACTCAATGTGTGTTCTATTGGATTTTCAAGACTTATGACGTTCCTGGGCTCTTGTTTTGAATGAACTTTTCCCCCTTATTTGATCAAGTCTGGGGGGGCATATGGGTGTGTCTTTTTTTTTATTTATTAAATAAGCTTTTTACAAATGACTTTGATATTAGTCAGTACATTGGTTTATCTTTCCTCTATAAAGAAAGTGGCGGACGAAAACTAAATGAAAATAAGGCACTGACTTCAAAGAAGGCAAGGTTAGTATTGCAATTTTAACTTTACTCACATAACAATAAAGGTCTCTTAAAGTTTGTTCTGGGGCCAAAACTTGTTTCATGTATTTCTGAGTAGTTTTTAAAAGTGATATACAATTCTCTTTCTTATGATGCTATAAATATTTGTAAACAAACATATGCATCTTCAGACTCGTCTTGTATTGCTCTGTTCTAAGGAGAACATAGCAGTACAAATGCCCAAACTTTGCAATGCTTAAGTCCGCCCTAAATTTTCATATATCTGCATAGTTGTGCACTAATGTCTTCTTTTAGATTTGGAGAGGAAGGGTTTGATATTGTTTAAGAATTGGGAGATCTGGGTTCTGTTATAGCAAGGGTGGGCAAACTTTTTGGCCCGAGGACCACATCAGGGAATAGAAATTGTATGGTGGGTCATGAATGCTCACAAAATTGGGGTTGGGGTGTGCAAGGGGGTGTGGGCTCTGGGGTGGGACTAGGGATGAGGAGTTTGGGGTGTAGGAGGGTGCTCTGGGCTGGGACCGAGGGGTTTGGAGGGTGAGAGGGGGATCAGGGCTGGGGCAGGGGGTTGGGGCATGGGGAGAGGCTCAGGGGGTGCAGGCTCCAAGCGGCGTTTACCTCAAACGGCTCCCGGAAGCAGTGGCATGTCCCTTCTCCGGCTCCTACGTGGAGGCGCGGCCAGGCGGCTGTGCACGCTGACCCATCCGCAGGCACTACCCCTGCAGCTCCCATTGGAGCGCATAGCAGCCGGAGAGGGGCCATGCCGCAGCTTCTGGCAGCTGCGTGGTGCGGCCCATGACCCTGCGCCTCAGCCAAAGCGGGGTCAAGCCGCGTGGTCCGGCCCAGCGCCCTGGCTGGAGCAGAGCCGAACCATGTGGTGCGGCTCGCGGGCCGGCTTAAAACAGCTCATGGGCCGTAGTTTGTCCAACCCTGTGTTATTGCGTCTGACGACTTTCTGTGAGACCATGAGTCACTGAGAAACCGCTGAGTGCCTCTTTATCCACTTGTAAAATAGTGTGATAGTTGTTGGCCTCACAGGAGTTTTGAGGCTTAATTCACTATTTGCAAAGTGCTTAGAGACCATTAGATGAAAGGTGTGGAGGTGCAAAATATTCTATCATTAATAGTTTACAAATAAAGACTTGCATTTAATCAGCTTTGTCGACACACTGCAGGAGTGTGCAGTGGGCCATATTATTAGCTTCCATATGCCATATTTGGCCTTAGGACTCTTTGAATGTCTCTCTCCTCAGCCATAGTCTTTCTACATTGTCTGTTCATAGTCACTCTAAGTTCAATGATTTTGCAGTTATCATGATGAGGCGGATGGGAGTATTTTCTCCTATGACTTTTACATGAACGTCTAATGTGTGGAATATTTTATTTTTTCATCCTAGATTTGATCCTTATGGGAAGAACAAATTTTCAATATGCCGGATTTGTAAGAGTTCTGTTCATCAGCCAGGGTCTCACTACTGCCAGGGATGTGCTTATAAAAAAGGTGAGATTTATGTAGTTTGACTTTTCCTTCCCCAGCCAGCTTGAATTTAGTGCACAAATGGAACTCCACTTGTTTTAATTTTAGGCATCAGAAATAGTAGAGCTGAAGAACAATTCAAACTTACCTTGGTAGGTTTATGGAAAACTGTTATTGAAGGTTGCTGTTGCTGAGCAACTTCATGATCTCTCTTAATATAAAATAATGTGATTGTGTTTGAAATTTATTTAGAGATTCATAGATTCTAAGGCCAAGAAGGGACCATAATGATCATCTAGTTTGACTTCCTGTATAATGCAGGTCATAAACTTCCACCCCAAAATTCCCCAGAGCATATATGCAGTCCTAATTTAAAAATTCCCAGTCAAGGAGGATCCACCATGACCATTGTTAAAGTGTACCAATGGTTAATTAACCTTACTGTTAGAAATGTACACCTTATTTCCAGTCTGAATTTGTCCAGCTTCAATTTCCAACCATTGCTGCAGTTTTCCCATATAGTCTCAAATTTTACTTGTTACACCTTTGCTGCAGTTTTCCCATATAGTCTCA